TTAAGTATTCTAAAACTTTCTATTTGGTTTGTAATCTATTTAAACTATACAATTTAACTTTTTTCGGTTTTTTTTTTTGTTTTTTTTATATAAGCTTTGCGATTTTAACTAGTTTTCAACCAATAAGCTATTTGTCCATAACGGGTCCATATCATTTTCCCGACATTTTTTTCTTCGACAGCTATTTCACCGACAGCACATAGGGTGATGATTAATATTTAAGGTCTTATGAAGATTAGGAATCGACTTTGAATATTAATCGTCACGCTACGTGATTTCGGTGAAATAATTGTCGAAGAAAAAAATGTTGGAGAAATGATATGGACCCGTCCAGGAGTATTTATAATGCACTGGTTTTTTTTAATAATTTAGTTGGGAATTGAGCCATCTCATCTAATTACTCAATACTATATTTTTATAATATAATATGATTCATTGTTTTTTTTTGATAATATCAGTGCAAAAGCTCTTTAAATTAAATAAGGCAATGTTCATTTCAGTCTTAATATGTCTTTAATAATGCTAAACAGTGATGATGAGCTAAATAGTGATAATGAGTAAGTAAAAAATATCATCATTATATAATGACAAGTATCTTACGAAAGACGGTTGAATTTTTATAACACATAATTAATTTTTATGAAAGCCACACAACTTTTTATGGAAAATGCGAACGATGTAAACGGAAATACATTTCTCCAACCTGGTGTAAAAAATGTGATCCTAAGGATGAAATTGAAGGGTGGACAAGTAACAATAAAGATATCAATAAATATATTATATATTATCAACTTAAAGTTATCGAATATGACAAGATAATTGAATGGGATTTCCTTTGATAGATTGATTAATTTACAAACAATTAGAGAAGAAAAATCAGAGAAAATATTTATGAGAACATGGCTAGATGGTATAACAGATATTAAAAGAGACCTTGAATTTGGAGAACCAAAATATACACGGATACGTATTCCTTCATCTGGAGTTAACCTCAAAACACTGCATGGTTCTTATGAGAGTAGAGATTTTATGCAAAAAGTAAGTTAAATAACTGTTTTCATGCCTTGTCATATATAAGAATATTGACATTTATGCATGTAAAAAACTTATTATAAGTTTAAAGATTTTATGCGATTCAAAACGATGCGTAGTTCTCGAGAAAGTAAGGATTTTATAAAAAAAAAAAGTAAGTTAAATTATTGTTTTCATGTCCTATCACATACAGTATTAGCATACTGACATTTGTACATGTAAAATTTATTATAAGTTTGAAGATTATATGTGATTGAACAACATTGTGTATGGAATTACTCAAGATACAGTAACAAACCAACACATGGTAGTAATACCAGATAAGTTTAGTTTTAAAAGAAAAAGTTCAAATGGAAAATGCATTTACTTTAATCATGACAACACTGCATGGTGTCAATCCTGTGATCCTTGGAAAGCAACTCAAAATAAATGGACAAGTGGAAACGAAACGAATGATACTTTCATTAAAAGATTACAATTAAAAGCCACAAAATACGAAAAGGTGATTGAATGGATTCCATTTGACAAACTAACAAATTTTCAAGAAATTGAGGATGAGTCAATATTTATGGCAACTTGGGCTGATGGTATAAGAACAATTCAGGGTAATTTGGAAAATTACAACCGATCACGTCCTAAGTCACGCGTTGACCTCATGAAATTGCAATGTTTTCAAACACACACTTTGGATTTTATAAACTGGTATCAGTTGGAGTTTGGAACCGGCTTTATTTTTCATATGCAGACTCAATTATAACATATGAAAAATGAAACCGGTTTCAAGCTCTAGTATCAGTAACCTTTTACTTACTCATCAGCACTCTCAAAATCTACAACATCGCTGTTTAGTATGATTAAATCAACCATATTAAGAACAATATTAACTTAATGCTTATTACTGCATTAAGGTTTATCGTATAGATGAAAATTATACTCACGAAAAATAAGGCGAATAGGCCTTAAGTTGAATAAAGTACAGTTTGAGAACTATGATAATAAGGATTGAGAGGCCTGCTGCTATTGAAGACAAAAATGTTATAGGATCGTATATGACATTAAAATGAAGGTATATTACCTAATAAAAAATATATTATTAGTCACTTAATATATTTAATCATTAATCTTCATCTGTAAGCATGCAGAAATAATGAGTTGAAGTATCTGTCAGAAGTACGCCAATGCAAGATCCCAAAAAATTCTTTTCAAAGAAATGTCGTATAATGCAAGATCCCAAAAAATTCTTTTCAAAGAAATGTTGCATAATGGAGCATTGAACATTTCAAGATACATCAAACGCGATTTTAATATTAAAAGCGTATCAACATTTGCACCGGACATCGCTGCGAATGCAGTAGCGACACTTCCATAACGTGCAAACCAACGGACGGACTCCATATTTTGTTAGTAAATATTATTGAAAATGCTATAGTTAAGTTTAATACGAAGGGCACCCCTAAAAATATAGCACTAGTTTGTTATGATAGGAATACACATTTAATAAATAATATTATTTTTATTATAAAAATAACAATTTAATAATAATATGACTATTAATATTTATTTACTTCGGTACGGAAAAATTTGGGATAATTTTAGAATTTAAAATACAAAATGCTCCGAAGGAATAGAATCGAATTAGGTTAATGCCAAATTGTAAAATGACAAAATTTTCGCTCTATATTTTGTATTTTTATATTTTAGGCATGGAAAAAAGGTGATGTCAGTCGATTTTGTATAAGCTTTGCGATTTTAACTAGTTTTCAACCAATAAGCTATTTGTCCATAACGGGTCCATATCATTTTCCCGACATTTTTTTCTTCGACAGCTATTTCACCGACAGCACATAGGGTGATGATTAATATTTAAGGTCTTATGAAGATTAGGAATCGACTTTGAATATTAATCGTCACGCTACGTGATTTCGGTGAAATAATTGTCGAAGAAAAAAATGTTGGAGAAATGATATGGACCCGTCCAGGAGTATTTATAATGCACTGGTTTTTTTTAATAATTTAGTTGGGAATTGAGCCATCTCATCTAATTACTCAATACTATATTTTTATAATATAATATGATTCATTGTTTTTTTTTGATAATATCAGTGCAAAAGCTCTTTAAATTAAATAAGGCAATGTTCATTTCAGTCTTTTCTGCCTTAGTTGCATTGGTATTGACATTCTTAATAGCAAGGATAAAGTCACCAAAGGTGATTCTTACGTGTTTTTGGGATTGTTGAAATCTGTAACTATAATCTAAATAAATTGTAGTAGTTCCCGTTGATATACCCGTATGTGCTCCATTTATTATTAATTGGTTTAAATTTTTCGCTAATTGTGTGCTAAGCATTTTGTCAACACCTTTTGCCCGCTTAATAGAAAGTAAAATAAGAATGTTTTGTATACTAGAATCTTCAAATTGGTAATTTCCGTTTGAGCTCAATCTATCATTCTCGGCAGGAATTCTAACCGTGAGTTCATTTATTAATGTAGTAATAAAATCGGATTTTTCTGAATTGCTAAATTCTCGAAAATGATGAGTCCCATTTTTCGATAATCGTAATAATCCTTGGATATCATCTAAGTTCAAGTTAATATCACGCAGAGATTAAATTTATAGATAAGCTTAGATTACATTACCAGAATCAATTGGCCTATGACTAATATCAGTATTAGCTATTTAATAAACAATGATAATTAATTATATCCTCTATCAATAAATAGTTAAATAATTTCATTGATATGAACTTGTCTGAAAAGTCCACACATAGGAGTCGATGCCCAAGATAGCTTCATTGTATATTGAGTTTTGTACCAAATTATTGTCCATTTGAATATAATATTCACCACCTGATTCGTCAAAAGTAGAATCATAAACATTAAGGGTGACGACATTTCCCAAAACGGTACATTCAGTACAAGTTTTTGGATCTTGTCGAAGAACATTGCCTTGACTAGATGTTTGATAAATATACAATTTGCCATTTGCAAACGAAACTGGTTCTTGAAATGTGAAGTTAATCTCGTTGTAATTTACTGCTAGATTATTATTGCCTTTTTGAGGGTATGTTGCGTTCACATGTAAATTACCATACCCACTACCTATAACGACAATATATAAGCATAAATTAAAGGTATGGAATTGTTTTTAATGTGGCAGCTGGTGCTGAAATTGGCTGATGCTAAATTTTGTCCCATTTTATTATGAAATAGTAAAGATTTTTGCGTCTTTTTTATAGACCTTTTTTGTTTTGAGTGAGTTTAAGATTTAGGGTTACAAATGTTTAAAAAAGAGCATTGGATTATATTGTTGGTTTAAATAGGAACCCAAATTTTAATATCAGTTGATTTTAGCATAAGCTAGCATAGCGAACATTCATTGTAATTGGTTAGATTTTGTTGATCATCTCGTGATTTTATTTGCTAATCACCTAATCA